TATAAGAAATACTAATGATCTGATGGTCATTTCGAAAAATCCTTTTTTAGCAAGCATCTAGAAGCCAAGAGGCACATATGTGCCAGATTTCAAGTTTGTAAGCTTTACGGTTCTGGAGATTTCATGATGAATGAGGGGACTTGGCTTTTATATATAGAGAGAGATTTATATCGAGATATATATAGGTCCTAGATTACAGCAATTCATTTAGTGACCATTTGAAGCTACAATGACACTGGGAAAAAAGTGACTTAGCACACTTAAAGACCATTGCAGCGTGCCTGTGATCAGTGATCAAAATCCGGACATTTGGCTAACTGGCTCATACTTACGACGCTTGCAATATCTTTTTTGCGAACTTCTGAGCGGCAAAACCAAGGGGGAAACTAGATTCGCTTTGAACACCCCTGTTTGCTAGCTCAACAACTGCAGCGATTCGTTAAGCGGCAGCAGCAAGGAAGGTTGTAAAACGGAGCAACGCTCCCTTCACGAGTGCCTCACTTAGCAACAGAAATGTTGGGCTCACTTGTGGTCGTACGTCAAGGACTCCCGTATGCTCAAGGACAGGAAGTCTTTGTTGATCAAATAACCCCGTTTCCTGCTCTTGAACTCGCCGCGGGAGCCACAAAACCTACCGGGGGTTGAAAAGCTCAATAAATTGCGTGCTGGTATGTGTGTGTGTGTCGCACATTGGCGGTTGTGACACATATTTGGAGTGACAGGGAGCTGCAGCAGAGGGATGAAAGAGCCACATGCGGCTCCGGAGCCGCAGGTTTGCCGAGCCCTGTGCTCGGCTAAAACAAGTCGTGTTTGCTAACTTCTCTGTGTCTTCCTGGCCCGATTGGGTTCTCACCTTGCCTCCGTTTCCTTTCCTAACAGGTCGATCTCCGGTTCCCTCCCTTTGTGACCGAAGGCGCCCGGGATTTGATTGTGAAGCTGCTGCGTCACAACCCATCCGAGCGTCTCCCGCTGCAAGCCGTGATGGAGCATCCGTGGGTGAAAGCCCACTCCAAGCGGGTGCTACCCCCGGTTTTCAACTCAGTGTCCCCAAACTAACTCTGCCGGGCGGGAGGACTTGGATACCCAGCCTCCAATGGATGCAGCCTGCTAAGGGGGTTTGGGGGGGGTGGAGGGCATGCGTTATCGCAGGGTTTTGGGAAGGGCCGTCTTTTTTTGGATCTTTGCACCCCAAGATTCGTACTTGAAGAGTTGATCCAGACACGGATCTCGTTTCGGAGAGCTTGGGAAATAATGGGCATTTCCGCCTTCTCCCTGGACATAGGGCAGCTGTTCCTGGACATAGGAATCCTATTTTGATCTTTTGACCTTGGCTGATCCTTCTTCGTCTTCAAGCTTCTTTCAAACCTTGATCCTTGTCATCGTCGCTGGTTTTTTTAAAAGGTATAAGCCAACTATTTCCCAAAAACGGTATGCCCGATCTTCGTGTGTATATATTTCCTAGGGCACTGTTGTAATTTTAATAAAAAACATTTCCCTTCAGCTTGTTTTTCTCCGAATCTCTTCTTTCTGGAAGTTGGGGGGGGGACATTCCAAGAACCAAATTGAAATTGCATGGCTTGGCCTGGCCGTTTCGATTAACCATTGAAAGGGATAAAAGAAGAAATCGGATTTGTAGATTTACAGCCGTTGGTTTAGACCCGGTTCGAAGTTATAACAGTAAAGTACAGTTGTCTTTGATTTACAATCTTCCATTGAAGGAGGGAGGGAAGCAAGGAGGGAAGGAGGGAAGGAAGGAGAGAAGAAAGGAGGGAAGGAAGGAGAGAAGAAAGGAGGGAAGGAAG